ACACAGAAAGACAGACGGACTCTGTGCTTCACTTTCTCGTCAATTCACAGCATCGTCAGGTCCTGCTCTCAGTGGTCCAACTTCTCCTGCACTGACCTTGGGGGTCCCCGGGATTACATAAAGTCAGGAAATGCTTCTGGTGCCTCTGTGCTGGGCTAGCCTCTCCCACCCTGGACCCCTGCCCAGAGGCCGAACAGAGGCTGCCTCCCGGAGGAGGGGAGGTGGGAGGGGAAGATGCCCTGGTCAGCGAGAAGGCGGTGACTGCAGAACCCACTCAGGCCTGGTCACTCCTTGAGGCAGGGAAGTGTGCCCGGGTTGTGCCTCGCTGAGGATGAAGGCCAGCCCTCTGGCCTCCAGGGGTGGTCTCTGAGAGGGAGCCTAGGCCTGATGCAGGAGTGTGGGGAGCGTTCCTTCCTCCTCTCCCAGGGTGGGAGCCCGGGGCAGGGGTCAGGGAGAACCTGAGTTTCCTGGTTCAGGCCACAGCAAGGAGTGGGTGGTGGGTGGGGGGCACTTCCTGCTCTCTTTGAAGCTGAGACATTACCTAAAAGTCCTTAGCCTTCCTGAGAGATTCAATCAGGGAAAGCCCCGCCTACCTGCCCTAAGCTCCACCCCACCTGCCCGAAGCCCCATCTGCTCCTCCTAGGATGCTGGGGAGAGGGGATAGGTTATGCATGCTCATTAAAATGCTCAGCCCTTCCCTGCAGCTCTGTTTGCATGGCCACCAGCTGCAGCTTCCATCTGTCCATCTGTCTGTTTGTCCATCCATCCGGCACTGTGCCCCACAGCATCCAGGCCTCCAACACATAGACTAGAAAGGAGAACCCAGTCTGGAAATCTTCAAACTCCTTGTGACTGTGAGTAGGGGCTATGCTTCTCCTTTCTCAAGATCCAGGATGAAGCTCAGAACCCTCCTCTGGTTCGTGAGGCCTCAGGTTGTGCCTGTGTCTGATTCTAACGCTGCTCCAGCACACTCACCTTCCCAAGGTCCCTGCTTCTTTCTCTTCCACCAAAGACCCTTTGCCCTTGCCGTTTGCTCCATAGAAAGCTGGTCCCGTTCTTCATCACTTAGCTTCTCACTTGGGATCTCTTCCTTTCTGCCAGCCAGGCTGGCTCAAGAATTCTTGTCCACGATGGTCTTCCAGCCTTTGCTGTGATAGGTAGGGATGGCTCATTTATATCTCCCAGAGGATTGTAAACCTTCAAGAGTAGGAACCATGTCTGTCCTTGATTACCAGCCTAGAAGAGTGCCTGACACATAGTAGGTGCCGTATAAGTAGTTGCTGATTAAGTGGATGTCCAGTAACCAATAGTTCCTAAGTTCTATTTCAAGTTTTAACTTGGGAGGAGTCTGCAGAGTGGGGATCGCTGGTGGGCTCCTGGGAGCCCAGGTACCAGGTCAGTGGAAGAGGAAGGCCTACTGTTAATTATATACGTAGTCAATGAATGAACAGATATTTGTAATCTCTGGTAAGCGCCAGATGCTGGGATAGCTGCTTCACTTGTGTGGTCTCTTAAACAGTGGGAAAGAGCAGAGTGGAAAGCATATCATCTTAGATAGGTTTAGAAGAGAGAAAGCGGGTGATGTGTATGGATGGTAATAGGTGATGTGTATGGATGGTAATAGGAACTCAGATTCCTATTGCTCTTTCACGTCCACTATCTTTTTGTTTCTACAACAGCCCTGATAATTTGGCAGGGGAGTTGGGGTCACACCCATTTTGCAGATGAGGAAAATGAACCACAGCCTTAAGTGACTACCCAAGGTCATGGTTAGTCAGTGAAGGACTGAAGCCTGAGTCTCCCGGACCCCCTAGTCCTTGCTTTTTTCCAAAGGCTGTCTTTAGTGCCTGTTCTTGTCACCAAGCTGGATAGTGGTAAATGGGCCACTGTCCTTGCCCTCAAGGGGTCTGAAGTCCAGGAAAAAGAATCAGATTCATAGTCGGCAGAGTGGGCCAAAGTTCTCCATCCACCCCATGGCGCTGCCTGGGCTCAGTTCCTTTCTGGCCACATGTCCCTGGAGAGCACCTTGGTTTCTCTTTGACTCGCTGGAGGACATCAGAGCCACCTTCCTTTGGAGTCCTGGGCTGATAGAGTGTCCAGAAGTGGCTTTCCTTACAGAGGCTGTGCCGGGCCCTGGGCAGTGGTATGTTGAGGCCAGTTTGTACTAAAGCATGAAAACTAAATTTTCGGAATTTTGTGAGCTGGCTGTTAAACACAGACTTTATAAAAAATCATTACGTATATAAATTTATAATTAAGTCAATTATACTAGAAACAAGGACAATAAATTCTCAAAACATAGTACTTCTTAATTGTTTCACCGTATTTTACTATTACCTATGTGTTTGTGGTGGTTATTTGTATCGTGTGTGTGTGTGTGTGTGTGTATGTGTGTGTACACAGTCATGCTCTATGTAATGATGTTTCGGTCAGTGACACACTGCACATAGGATTATGGTCCCATAAGATTATAATGGAGCTGGATTTCTTGTAAGAAATGGAAGAATGTGTGGTTCAGGAGGAATATTTTCCCCCTGACAGGAGCAGCATCTATGAGCTTGGCAACAGAGTCCCTCCACTCACAGCGCCTCAGTTTTGAGTGCACAGATGCCACCCTGGTCAGTTACCACTGACCTATTTCAGCACAGAGGAGCCTGTCCCCCAGCGCTACGTATTCAGAGGGTGCTGCAGCCCTCCCTGGTCCGGCCTGGTGGTCTTCAGAGTACAGTGCTGTAAATTCGTTGCTGAGGACCTAAGATCCTGTACAGAGACACAGGTCCACAGGAGCGACCTTAACGAGTATTAAAGTGCCACTGTCACTTTAGTAAAGGCTTTCGGTGGCAGTGCGAAGCCGGCCTGTCCCTGAACTTTGAAAACATTTTCAGGTCGTAATGGTGTAAAACATAGACATGCCAGAGAGAGTCCTCTGTGCCAGATGGGGTCGGTGGGACCGGAAACGAATTTCCAAAGTCAGAATATTGAGTCCTCGCTTCTGCACCCTCTCTGTGTTAAACAGCCTTTTTTTTTTTTCCACATAAACACCACAAAGTTCCTTAATCCATCGCTCCCACATGCAGTGGCTAAACCCACGTTGCCATGACAATCCCCCATGTTCCTCTTTATCTCCATCTCCATTTCTAATTCCTACTGATCCTCGGGCCACCTTTACTCCCTCCCGACACTTACTATTGAGGTGATCTGTGCCTCACCCATCCAGTTTCTCCTCGATATTTCCGATCAGTCCAGCCCACATCCCTGTTCATGGAGCAGCATTGACCGTGTCAATGTTCTATTCCTGACTCTGTCAGAAGGAGGTGGGGTGGGGGGCAGGGTTTATATGTCTTCAGTAGCATATGGTGACCTCTGAGGCCTTGACACTCACTCACCCTCACTCACAACTCCCCCAGAGCAGCTTCCAGTCCTACCGGCTCCTTTCACGGTGGGTGCCCTGTGCAGGTGTGCCGTTTATATCTTTCATACCATATTTTTACTTTTCTACATTTGGTATGTTTAGATACACAAATACTTACTGTTGTGTGACAGTTGCCTACAGCATTAAGTGCAGTGACACGCTGTACGGGCTTGTAGCCAGGAGCAGCAGGCTGGACCATACAGCTTAGGTGTGCAGTAGGCTGTCCCACCTGGGTTCGTGTGAGTGCGCTCTGTGACGTTCGCACGATGTAGTTGCCTAACGATGCATTTCTCAGTGCACCTCGTCATTTAACGACACATGACTGTGTAATGTGTATACCGGGGTCTGTTCACATCTCTTCCCCACTCTGTTTGGTGATGCCACCTTGGTGCTTGAAATTGGCCATAATGAGAGTATTTACACCATGGAAATTGGCAAACACTGCAAATCAGGGTCCCTCCTGCCCCAAAGTCAGTTGTTAAACATTTGTCAGCTCACCGTGGGGATCCAGCAGTGAGCAGCTTGGGGACAGCCCTGCCCTGGAGCTCGCATTCTGGCGTGACATCACTGCAGAGCTGGTTTAGAGTGCAGAGTGAGAGGGGCAGCTCTGGGCTGGGCCGACTTGTGGTGTTTGGGGTTGTGAATTGCCCTCAGATGACCTCTCCCTCAGGAAACTGAGTTATTTTACCATGCACCAAGAAGAGGGGAAATGGGTTGAGGGTAGGGTTAAGTTAATTGAGAACCTACTTTGCCATTGATTGGATAACCACACACAGGGCACCCAGGCATCTGGGAGGCAAAGCAGTGGTGGTCCAAGGACACAATGGACAAGTCATGTAACTCAGGGCTGGTGAAGGTATGATGTCCGGGATCCTGGTGGCTAGAGCTGCCTGGGAGAGGCTGAGGACACAGCAG